ATTAACATGCCTTTGTGGCTTTGCCTTGGACATGTTGGGGTTTGTTCTTACCTCCATTGATTTGGGATGGCTGACACTCCCATGTCATGTGCCTGTATTGTGGGGTAGAAGAAACAACTGAACACTTACTCCTGATAGGGTAAACGCGGTAACCCATGAGAGGCAGGTGATGGTGTCAAGCATCAACATAGAATCATAGTGGCAAACCAGAGATTTTTTAGAATCAGTTCATTTTTAATTTCCTCATTTACTCAAGATTTTAACCAATTTCTTATGTATGATAATGCTGGATTGCTGGTATCCATGATACTTTACTGGTCTACTTATAGGACTCAAAAACAAACTTGAGAAGTTGAGGGAGAGTCTAAAAAACTCTCTGCTTTGCCACTATGACTGTCTGCATCAATGCCCTGGGAGGCTGGGATTCCCTCTCATCTCTGTGTGACGTGTGTGTGCTTCTTGGCAGAGGCAACTACCCCAGGGCCCAGAAGAGTTCAGCACTCCAAAGTGCAAGCAACTGCTACATATCTCACACAAACTGGTTGTCTAACTACCTTATACTTATAGCCAATGAAGAGCACTGGATCCAATGACAATTTCCCTCTCATAGCTTCACATCATGAGAAACTGATGACAAGGTGGAGAGAATGCACCAGCCGTGAGCCGACCAGCGGAGAGAAGAAAGAAGCTGAAATGAGAAGATGACGACAAGAATTATATAAACATTGCTCATTGCTGAGTCCAGCCTCCTCGGATTGTCTCCTAAATTCCCAAAAGAAATAAATCAACTGCACATTGTCAACAGAAATATTTTATAACATTGCAGTGTTTAAATAGTTGAACAGCTTGATAGCTTTAAAAGTTCCACTAGGTAGCCTAGATAGAATTTGTCTTGAATTTGAAGCTGCAAGATTACAGGAATAGTAGACTGTGCTCACCATCACTGTAGAAAACCCAAGAAAAGTTCTATCTAGCCTTCCATCTAGGTGGCCCAGTGGTTGCAGTTCAGAGTACAAGTACCAAGATTGGTGCAGAGAAGTGCGGGTTTGATCCCAGCTCTGTGCGATAGTTTTTGCTCAGAATTGGCTAGGAGGCCGGGCGGTGAAGCCAAGCAAAATTCTAGCAGTGAGTTGCAAGTTCGAGACCGCAAAATGCTGTAAATGTTCTCATTGTTCTGCGAAGCTGCGATGTTAATTGTTAAGAATAGGCAGTAGGCAACAGGCCTAATGAACACTGAAACTGCTATTATTATTAATTAAAAGAAGTCACCATGCAAAGTTTGGCAATTGTATTGCCAAAATCTTAATTTTGGCCTAACATGTTGACACTTGACAGTATTGTTGATTTGTTACCAGTTGCCAGCTTAGGCATAAAATTAGGCATAAGCCACCCATGAATTGCAAAAATGCCCATGAATTGGGCCAATTTTACCCTTTTCTATGGTATTTTTCCAATTATATCAGTGAAATATGAGGAAAGCAGACTCATTTAACCCATAATTGTTGAAAATCACCATTAAAATGATGAAGTAACACATAATATGTAGATATACAGCTGTTGGTTTTCTTATAAAAGCTCTGCAATTTTTGCTATATGAATTATCTCTTATCTAAACTCTAATTGGTAACAAAAGCTCACAATTGAGCCTTAAGATGCCAGTTGTTGAAAATGTATTATTCTGAACTTGCAAGATTTTAGTCTCAAGTAGGATTTAGTATCAAGTAGGAAATTTAATATTTTGGATTGTAAGCACCAGTCTCTCATTCCGAGCATAATTTCACCTTGAATTCCAAATCAAGTCTAATTTAGTCTAGTGAATTGTAGTATTTCCCAAGTGGTAAGACAAGAGCCTTGAATTTTTTTGCTTAAATATTTCATCTGCAAACTTACATGGTTTGATTAGATTTGAAGTGAGGCTTTGAGGCTGATCTTTTGTATATAGGTGCCAAATTGCAATTATGTATAACAGTACATATGGTTTGTATAAGATTAATTACCTAGGTACTGTATATACCGGTACTTGGTTAATACCAACATTTATAGTTGGTCTATATTTCTGATATGTTGTTAATAATGTTAATCTACATCTGTTGTTGAGTCAGTCTTCAATTCAATTACACTAAGGAAGCACTGTTCCCTAACATAATAATAAGTCCAACTAGTAAATAGGCATAGTCTTGTAGTTGGTTCAACAGCTATTATAATAAATCATCCTAAGAAAGTTTAGTCCATGGATTGAAGATTGATCATAGTGGCAAAGGCCATAGAGCAGAGAGTTTTCAAACTCGTCCTCAAGTTTGATTTTGAGTCTTTAAGTAGACCAGCAAAGTATCATGGATACCGTACCAGCATTATCATAGGTAGGTATATAAGATATTGATTTAAATTTCAGCCCCTTGGGCCCTCAGGTAAATGAGGACATTAAAAATGAACTGGTTCTAAAAAATCTTTGGTTTGCCTGGGAGGCTACGACTTGGCCACTGGTTAGTCAATTGGTTAGTCATGACCATATGTATAGGGTGAAGTATTGGATACACAATAAAGTGCCAAATAACTTTAAAAAGTGCTCCTCCAATTTCTTTTTTCAGCTATATTTCACTGTTATTTATGAATGAAGATGGATCTTGAGGATACTAAAACTTTTGTTGGTATTTATTTCAATAAGGAAGATTGGCAAGTTGTTCCCAGAATTTGGTTGTTTGAGGAAAATGCCAGAATTTACACCTATTGGCCTGACGTCGGTGATGTTGGCACGTTGGCTAGGCTGTGCACTCCTGTGCAGAAGACCTGGCGTTCATATCCAGTGCAGAAAATTGTTGCAACCTCAGGTAAGCAGCTGTATTTCTGCACTCTCATATGTATATACAGCTTATTTCTGCCATTGAATTACTACATTTTTTCCACTTGTGAATCAATTTTCTGTGGAAATATTGTTAAAATTGATTATGATATAGGTAATGCTGAAAAAGTGTAAGAATGATTTATAATTAAATTTCAATTAGCCAAAAGTTGATACGGTAACTCTAGTTCTGCTTTGTAATTACAACCATTTTTAACGTACGGTATAATAATGTCACAAATACAAAAGTCTTCTATTTTTGTTAACTTTGGGTGACAGAAACAATGAAGGGAGTACATGTTTTTGTTCATTTGATATCTGTCTCAGTGACACAGCCTGATCTGTGGTTACTTGTATAATTTAAAATGTCTAATATGAAATTAATGATATAATGAAAGAAATTGTCAGCAGCCAAGTTGAATAAAATTTCTAATTACAATTCTAAGAATGAGGATAATTTCTGGGTTGAAAATAGTTTATTTAGTTATAATAAGGCAATTTTTGTTTTAATTTTATTTTAGAGGACTACAAACGAACTGAACACAAAGTGCTGTGTGGCCACATGAGCCAGAGGCAGTCTTCAGAGATTGAAGTGGGCCCCCGCAAACATAAGAAAGGTAAGATCTGTACATGTCTACATGTTCATAAATTGCTAAATTCCTTATATTATTAGTTTACTTATAGGTATTGCATGTTAACCAAGAAGTTCAATGTGAAGAAACATCCAGTCAATTCACCATATTTTTATTTAAAGTATTGTTGATCAAATACAAATAATTTTTTTTTCTAACTGTGATAAAAACCTTATTATGCTGTATTGATGGGTTAATAATGAACAAATTGGTTTGTTGGTGGACATTGTTCCTTGAAAGTACCTACTCAACATATGCCATTATTTTAGCTTATACTGCATGAAAAATGATTTCTATGCATTTTAAAATAGATCTACAGTTGCCAAACCTGGTATTAATTAATTGCCTTCCAAAGTGTAAAAAAAATGTTCAGAGGATCATTAGAGGGTCATTAGGAGTGAAATATATAGCATTATAATTTATTCAATAAAATTATTGAAAACATTAATGAGAAGAACAATGTGCTTGTTGTGATGCTTGTTTGAGTAACTAGGTTTAAAAATTAACTTATGTAGGTAATTAAATAAGAAATATACTATGTCAAATTTCTACAGTCAAACTGCAAAATGAAAACGAATAGGTAGGATTTGAAATAATCCCATCTGTGTTTAAAAGTTAGCTTGTTCATTTTAAGGGTAAAATTTCCTGATAAACTTTCGTTCTAAGCCTTCTTGAATCCTATTTAGACCCATCATACTATGTACTAGTATCCATGAATGTCCATGTAATAAATATACATTATATACTTAAACTATTTGGTATATATTATATTAATCTATGACTACTATTATATATTTTACTATGATACCTAATAATTTTACTATGATAGTTAAATTAGTTGTTCTTAGTTAAATATATTACATAAAGTAGTTAAATGTAATCCAGAATGACTTTAGTTAAGTGAAATACGTGTCATTAAGNGCTTTAAGATGAGACTAAGCATGTAACTGCAGCACAACTCAAGTAGAAACTATATTCAAAGATTTCAGCAGCTAATTAATTTATATCTAATTTCTTAAAGAACTCTCCCACCCGCTTCCCTTTAAAGAGATGTCATTAACGTAAATATTGGCGTACAGCGATGGCAGTGGTACCATTGGAAAGAGCAGAATTGCAGCTTTCAGATGAGCACAAAAACCGAAAAACGCCAAAATTGAAAATTTTAGCCCGGTCGGTCCCCTTAAATCGTATATAATTGTTGTATGTGTGGCACAACACTCGCTTACACGGTAGGGTGACCGAGTGTTAGAGATCAGCAAGACTAGACCAGTGAGTTATGGGTTCGAGACCCGCTACGAACCATGAAATTTCTAGTCAAAATCTGCCATGTGGCCGGGCGGTTAAGCACAGCAAGATTGGATTATCAAGTTGCGTGTTCGAGAACTGCAGTAAGCTGTGGAAATTCCTTGTGGTTCACAATCAGCGACAGATATGATGTCCCAATTTTCGACACTAACACTGCTATCAATTTAAAGACGTATATATACTTATATATTTTGTTTTATCTTCACCGTACCAACCCAGCCAGAGCGCGTATCATGGCTCGCCGTCGTAAGCAGCGGCGCTTCAAACTTCCAGGCCCGCTGGACCGCAGATCTTCTAGTCCAGACCTGCCATCGTTCCCGCGTGAGTACGAGAGGCAGACCTGGTGAATAATGCATAATAGGTGAATGTTTGTTGAATTCAAGGGTAGTTTTTGGCTAAAATGTTGTAGATGAATAAATAAATGCCTGTTGACGAAAGAGAGTTTGCTGTTGAATATAACTTGAAAATACCGGTAGTGTTACATTATGTAGTCCTCCCACTCTACTTCGCTGTTCGTATTCTGAAATATGCACGTTACATAGCTTAAAAGAATATTTGAATTCATTCAAAAATTCGAATTCATTCGAAAATTCGATCCAAGATTCTTCCTTTTAAAAAATATTGAAATCCTGTTAAAAAATTGATATTTATCGATCGTACAAAAAGTAATTATTTTGAAAATTTATTACGTACATTCAAACAATTTGATTGCGTTGAATCTATGTTATAATAAATTATTTTTGCTCGTGAATAATATGAAGCATGCGAATCAATTGTTTAGATATCATTTATTACATCAGACCCATCGCAGTTGATGCATCTGCCTGGCAAGATTAATCGTAAATCTCCTGAATTTGGCCAAACCCCGTAAGTGAGCTCATTATTTTCTCATGTATGGGAGAAGACTCGGAAAAATGAGTGAGACTTTGTCCAAATAGCTGCACATTTTTTGCCCATGTTTAGGTTATCCTCCCCCAGTTTGGAAAGAAAATGGGCGTATCAGTGATACGTTCGATATCTACTCATGCTGTAATATTCAGGTGTCATTATTTGAGCAATATATTGCCCAAATAGTTTAGTTTTGTTCCATTAATTTAGAACTAGTAATTTTGAACTTAGTGATTAACTGACTTATTGAATCATATTTTTGTGTTTTGTCTATTTTTTTACCTTTTAAGTACTGAGTTTTCACGTTCATAACTAAAAAATTCACAATAACTTTGAAAAAATCGCGATAATATTCAAAATTGAAAGTTCTTGTATGTTGTTACAATATATTTTTGCGTAAGCTCGCGGTCGTTG